GCAGTGTATTAACACCCTATTCTCAACATAACATAACATATCCGTAACGTACATGTTAGGCCGAGTTTTAACAGTAACGAGGCAAGTTCGTATGATGGAAAACTTTTTCCAACACATTACTGTTATTTTCCGCCTGTTATGTTCTAATTTAACAGTTTTCCATCATACGAACGTGCCTCGTTACTGTTAAAACTCGGCCTAACATGTACGTCACGGATAACGTAAACGTTCAATCATAGGACCCATTAAGACCTCAAACTTGGTGAGAATTTCTTTTTCTATATGTAGATTAATATTTTGTTTGAGCACCGAAAAAAAAAACAAAATTTGTCGGAAATGAATCACCCTAGTATGTATATTGCTCAACAGGTTATTTTATTTAATCGTTGGTTTCCTCAATTCTTTGTTCAGTATTCTACAAATTTTCTTTTTAATGGAAGGTGGCACAGTTAATTGCGTTAAGCCCAAAACGTCTTAACCACGCCACTGATTCCCATCATTAATCTAGGTATAATAAATTTCGTTTCATTTTGTGAAATGGTTTTTTCTTCGGAGTTGCGGGTCTAATAGCGAAACTTTTTCAGATAAGGGTTTTTATGCCAGACGACGATTGATATTGGAAATAATAATTTGTAAAAAAGTTGAGAAAAGGATCTGAAGTCGATGCCGTTCGGATTAGATCGAGGGAATTTAACGGTTTTTAAAATCGGAATAAAACATTCAAAAATGGGCTATAGAAACTTTTTGAATTACAATCTGAGTCGAGCTGAAACCAAATGAATGAATATGAAAGATTTAATTTAATAGGAATTTACGAGTTTAGTTTGGTTGTGGATCAGGGCGGGATTGATATATTTAAAAATCATGAAAAGGAAAATAATTCCAAACTCAAGACGTGAAATAAAGAAAAACAAACGGCCATTTTTCTTTGGATATAACTCAATGCCTGTTTGTGGCATTAGCCAAAGGAGTAGTTGTTTTCCAAAGAGAATGTACTCGCAAAAGTGGAGTTTTGAGATAAATCAATTTTAAATTAAATTGTCAAGTGGTTAAAAATTTCACAATAGCTATTTATGAAACCAGTTGCGAAATGTCTTATTTTATGTAACGAGTGAATATTTGCGGGACGAGCATTTTGTTATAATACTGTTAGAAAAATATTGAATTTATATCAATCAATACGTCCTCACTGAATATGTGGACTGTGTCCTCTGTAAAATGTTAGTTGTATGTATCTAGGTGTTTTGTATTATGTTTTTGTATGTAGAAAATGTTTGTTGTTACTGTTGTTCTTATTACCGATTCAGCCGGTTGCAGGTTCTGCTGGGGTCTCTATCGGAGTCTATGTTGTATCTCGCTTTTTTCTTTTTCATTTCGGGCTGTTCTTTCTAGGTACACAACTTTTTTTAATTAGTTTTCTTTCATTTGATATAAATCTGTGAATAGCAGAGCGGTGTTATAAAAAAACTTATTTAACATTAAAAGTTATAAATATAGTTTTAAAAAAACCCCACTTCAAAAATAAGGAATTTGATAATTTTCTTATGGATCACAACATCAGATAGATATTGACTAAATTGATATGGGACCACTCCTGGGATACGACCTTTCTTAAAAAGAATTATAGAAAACGGACAACGAGGTAAAGAATTATTGCTGAATATACATAGAAAAATATTTCTTTCAATTGAGAACCTCTTCCCTTTCATACTTTGCTGGCTGTTTGATATTTGATTTGCAGTATTTTTCTGGAATTTGGTTAAGCTAGATTTTTTAATTGCTCTAAGATAGTTTCATCACGAATTTAGCCAATTTCATAGATAATTCCGCGTGAATTGTGAGGAAATTCCAAGACTTCTGAAGGAATTCCGGAAAATAATGTTTGTATGGCTGATGTTGGTTGTACTGTTACCGAAACTAGTTGCCTATTACATTAACGTATTAAATATTTGATGTTATAAATGAATGGAGTTTTCTTTATCTCTTTATTTAAAAGGTATTACAAATTCTTGAATATCATGGATTCCAATGAAAAATATTAAATGATTCCTAAAAAATGTAAGCTGTTGTTTCTAGACATTTATTGATTCATTCATTTATTGACGTAAAAATACAAATATTTATTTTCAAAACAATTTTTTTTTTTTCTTAGTAATCGGCTATATATATTTTTAGGTGTACCTATAACATTTCTTAAATTCCTCAGTTACCTGATTTTTATTATTGTCTGAATAAATTAGGACTATTATTCATTTTTTTAATAAATTCATTAGTTCTAGTATTTAATTGTTTTAATAAAAATTTTCCCGAAACATTTATTTTTTAAATGAGCGTTATATTGCACCTGATCTAAATCGATTCATCAGCAATTTTATCTTAACCAAATGGATTAAAAGCTTATAACTAAGCTTATCTCAGTTACTAACACTGTTTTTTTGGTTTATTTAACAAAAATTTATTTAAAAAAACACTTGCCACTAAAGTTGTATATGGAATTTTTACTAGCTTTTGCTAAAATAGATTTTGATTTGATTTGAAACAAAATGTAAGCCGTAGAAATAACAAAAATACAAAGTTGGTCAACAGAATCTTTAATTAGATTTTTTCAAAATATAATAAAATGCGCTTTGACCTTAGAAGGTCATCTTCAGGCAAATTAAATGTTAATGTACCATATTATATATCTAAATAACTTATAACTTATATTGATGTCTTACCACTATAAGGCATCTATAGACTTGGTTAACAATAATTAAAAGTTAAAAAAAAGATGTAGAAATGTAAATTTTTTTTAAAGATATGATTCATAGGTATGGATCAGTGATTATACCTTTGAATTTAGTTTGCCTCCAAACATCTAGTTAGGTTTGTATTTAGATATCTAACTTTAAGTTATTGCAGATTGCACACTTACATTTAATTTGCCCGAAGATAACTTTATAGGGTCGAAAGCACTTGCAAGCATATAGATATTTTGAAAAAATCTACTTAAAGATCCTGTGATTGACAGACTGTGTTTTTCTCCTTTCTACTTAATCTACTTTGGACCACTTTGAGATATGGATAATATTTGGAATTTATAAAATAGCTGTATATCAACTAACTTAGCTATTTTGTCAGTAATCATTTCTGGTACTTCTGCTTTAGCTTGTTGTACTTTACTGCTTTGGAATTATTTGTTCTAATTTAATAAATTAGAGAGGAGAGAGGAGTGAAAACAAACCAAAGTTTTTAAGATACAGGGTATTGACTTCAACCAGGCATTTAGCATAGGAGTGATAAAGGCCCGCCAAATAGACACCTCCAAAATGGGGCATCTAGAGACACCTCTCGGCGATGTTATTAACCTGCAGGACTTTGACCTAACAAGCTATCCCTAGACACTCCCTAGCTATAACCAGCAGGTTTTTGACGATTTAATAACCTGTAAGACCTTGACGAAGTGAAGATTGCTGTCTATCTGTGACAACCAGCAGGTTTTGACAAGTTGAAAGGCAGGTTATACGTATTCCTGGATGATGTATCATGGGCCTAATAAGACTAATGCACTGTGAAGCAATCCACACTCCCCCATCTTACAGATACAGATACTACTTCTATAAAAAGTATATTGGTGCTTTCATGTTGTGCTTAATATAAAAAGAACATTTTTGCAAATTTTTGTCACATTTTGGCAAATTTTTGGAATATTTGTAATAATAATCTAGTTTTTGTATTAACCGGTTCTGAGATCAAATGTGTGGTTTTTTATTTTTTCTCGAAAACGAAGTGAGATACAAAAAAAACTTAATTGCCAAAAATGTTATATTTTAGTTGCTTCATTAAAAACAAAAACAAAAATTAAAATCTAGAGGGTGCTATTTTAAAAAAAAGTAACGACTCGCCTCGTAGGCTCCCTCCTGGAATTACTGGATCAACTAGAACAGGTCTAAAAGATATCTGATTAAATATCGACAAAATTAAAAACAATTTTTTTTAAGAAAGTGTTACTTACATTTTTCTTATTTTGATCATTTAAATGTGTAACAATGTCAAATAATTATACAGGATGAGATGGCAGATGCGTGACTATCATTATAACACACTGTGATTTTGCATGGATTTACCTAACTAACCTTGTAGATATGTATCATTTTCTTGTGGAATTGATTGTAATTAATGAATTATCTGACGTAACTGCGATTTTCCACATTCTTTTCCATTCTAACCGTGACAGATGTCACAGAAAAAACTCACCTCAACCATTCTAGAATTCCACTCGTAAAAATATCTTGTATATTTTTAGAAAACCGCTTGAAATAGTTATTTGTATTGTTACATCCTTTTGATTTATTTCTTCTACATTTTCAGCTTTATTTTACATCACCTAATTAAATTGTAGTTACTTTAAAATTTGAATTAAAAAAAATATTATAACCTAATGACATAAATATTTTAAAATACTAATTTAAAGTTGCTTTTTTAATAAGAGTATTGTTGCTTGGTAATTCGATAATTCGATGAAAAAACTATTTTTTTAGTTAACTTGTTAGTGCAAAGGTGCAACTTTTCTTTGAATAATTAATATAAAAAACCATTCAAATTAATTAAAATTAAAATAATAATTGTTGATCTACATTTTTGTTTGTTTTATGTCGAATTATTTGTATAATTTGTGATCCATTTTCAATAAAGTATTTGTTTCTAAAAACACAGGTTTTAAATGAAAAGTTTAGTTATATTGATGGATTCATTGTTGTCATGAAACTACTACGATATGGTTTGAAATGTTCAAAAGGTCGCAACGTCAGAAGTCAATAGTCAATAGTAGAACTTTATATAATGAACAGAGGTGTTATGCATTTTTTATAAATATTTAATTTAATTGCAATATCCTCGAGATTATTATTTAAATTTCGGTCAGAAAAATGAGGAATAAACTATTCTATACTGATACTAATGTCTGTTGTTATCTTTATATTAATAAAGTACTGAAAATATATTTATTTAAACAAAAACAGTTTAAAATTAACAGTGATTTTGTCCCGAAATGAACTATTACTCGAACTTATTCGACCCACACGATACGCGTCAAAATTATTGTCAACAGAGGAACAAGTATCCCGATGTCAAAGCCTACGAAAAGATATTACCTAGAAACCAAGTGTTTCCCGATGTAGCGCGTACAAGGACTAAAGATGTATTAGGTAGAATGAGAAAAACGTTGCAGGAGGATTTGTTCTATAAAAATTTGGAGAAACAGGATAAATCGCCGATGTCTGATAGATCGTCGAATTGCAGTAGATCGGGAGATGACTCGAAAGCCATGAGGTAAGTCTATTTATGATTAATACGTAATTGTTTTGTTCTTTTGTTTGCAGAAAGTATTACTAATTCAGATAATCGCAAAAACTCTACGAAAATAGGTTTATTTCATCCTCTCCAGTAAATCTATTTACCTTATTCTCATTTACGACCGGTAAATGGAACAAAACAGTACCAGATACCGTAACGTTGTTTTGATTTTAAAAATTATGACTTTCTACTTTCAATTTTTGACAAGTTGTAATTTAAAAATATAAGAAATAAAATATTTAAGTTAATTATACAGGTTTTTTAAGACTCACAATAAGAGTAACTGTAATAATTAAAAAAAAAACAGTCATATCCGACAATAAAACTGCGTTCCGCACTCCGATGTTCGCTCAGTGCGAAGTCATGGTAGGGGAAGTAAAAGCGATACAAGCGATACAAGCGATACTAGCGCTAGCTGCAGATAATTCGTGCATTTTGTGGCGATATTTTGTAATTTTGGCATATCAAATACACGTATACATTTTACTTTTTTTTCAAAAAAGTAGGTAAAAACAATACAATAAGCAACCGGAGTTGCTGTGTTGAAAATTGTAAAAAAACAGTGTCAATTATAAAAAATTTTATTAGCAAAGTGGAAATTAAATCAAAGAAATTAATGGATATGTGTACAGTAAGAAAAAAATTACTTTTATTTTTTTAATGATAACAGTAATACTGGAAATAGTAGACATCAGTTACTTGAAAGGTTTTAAATAAACAATAAATATCATTTTACGTGTTCTTCAACGTCCCTTTAATATTAAATATTCTGCCAAAGCTGGATTTCTGTATTTGATTATTGTATGTGGCTGGAATGCAATTTTGTGACTTACTGATGATAGTAAACCACTTTTAATAATTTATTTTATGTTTTCTTTCGAACAAAAATGAAAATATAAATAACAATTCTTCTAATTATACATTTTAACTTCACGCTATTATTTAATGGTAATTTTTATATTTTGACAACTTATTAGACTTAGGCAACTTCTCATACATTTTCCAGTAAATACTGTTGCCTGCCTTTATTTTATTATTGATTTTTATTGAATATACTTAATTTTTTTTAGTTTAAGCGATAAAAATATATAGTAATAATAAATTAATGTTTTACTTGTTTTACAAATTCATATACTTTTATTAAAACTAACATAGGTATATACTTTTTAATTACGAATTCTATTAAAAATTGTATTGTCAGTATTGGTAAAAGTAGTCCATTAGTACGAAAAAAAATTGGCGCTGCTGTCACGCACGGAGCGAATTAGAGAGTTGAAGTGATACTATGAACGTAAACGTATACGTGATAATTGACATCTACGCATGCGCATTCAACTATCCTTCACGTTCACGTTTTCGTACATACGTAAGCTTGCAAGCTCTGGCGTATGCACGTAACGCAAATAGAATAACCTCTTTTTAATTGGGAAAGAAGAAATCCTAAAAGTCATTTTCATTATCTGTCATGACACGTAAATGTCACGATGCGTTTAACAACTTCAACTCATATTTTGGACTATACCATAAACATTATTTTTGTGCGTTGACGTTCACGTTTACGTTAACGTACTGGAAACACTTCAACTCTCTAATAGTTACTTATGAAACCAGTTACGAAATGCCTTATTTTATGTACAATAAATATTTATGAACGAGTTACATAACACGACATTTCCTAACATATTACATACTGTTCAAAATACTAAGGAATAAGTTTAGAGACTTTGACGAACCTATATATATATATATATATATATATATATATATATATATATATATATATATATATATATAGTTTAAATTAAATTATTTACATTCAATGTTAAAAACTGACAAAATATTAAATCTAGCAAACACAGTAAGTATACATAACCAATAATTGAGAATTACACTTGGCAGTTTTAATGCATACAATATGTTTTCTAATTTTGACTAGATTACACAGGGCAACAAAAAAATATTTTTTTTTGGTGTCTGGGATTTTAGAGCTGATTTTAACTATATTTGGGACGCTAAATCTGTACATGCAATCCATTTTTCTCTGTCAGCTCTACTTTTTTAGATACATCAACTTATCTACCAATGTGGTTTTTATTCAGTATATTCATTTATGAAAGTTCTAAAATTATTATATATATTCATTAATGTAGGTACAATGGTTATTGTCACTATGTAATTGAGTTTTTTTTTTTTCGATTTATGGCCTAGGTGTATATACCTAATATGCCAGTCTCAAGTTTGTGTTTTAAATTCTCAATAATATGTGTTCTGTGTAGGCTTTGTTACTGTTTCCCAGCGCCACTTCAGGAACAGCACTGTTAATTAGAACCCAACAGTGAATGGTCGAGTGGGGAATCCTACCAAGGCATCAGAATTAATTTTAAATAATTAAATTAAATGAAAAAATCCCGGCCAATGGTGGGATTCGAACCTGGGACCCTTGGATCCACAGGCAGAAACTCTACCACTGAGCCACCCACCCCCCGTAATTGAGTTAATTCCAGGTAAATCTATAAATAGTGATACCATTGCCTATCAGGTACCTGAACTGACCCTTTTAATCCCCTAACTCGAGTAAGTCCCGTCAGTTTGTGCGTTCTTACTAATGAGAGTAGATCGAATTCCAGTTCAAGAAGAAGTTGTGTGTTTTGCTATATATGCGGAAAATACATGTTTCAACAAAACAGACAAACTATTACTGACTTTGTAAAGCAACCGTATCTTGGATATTTTGGAGTTAACCTTGGTGATCAGGACAAAAAATGGGCCCCGCATCTCGTATGTAAAACTTGTACAGAGCATTTACGGCAGTGGACTACCGGGAAAAGAAAATGTCTAAAATTCGGCGTACCAATGGTTTGGAGAGAACCTAAAAACCACTTCAATGATTGTTATTTCAGTTTAGTAAATACTAAAGGAATCAATCGAAATAATCGCAGTAAGTGGTCTTATCCCAATGTAGACTTGACAATACGCCCTATCCCGCACTCAGATGAAATACCGATTCCAACATTTCATCAGCTATCTCTGATGACGAATTTTTTTCCTCTGTTCGCTGTTCTGATGCTAATAAAAGTTCTGATGCTAATAACATTTCTAATGAAACTAACAGTGACTATGAGGAGACGTCATCAGTTCCTCAACGCTTCAATCAAAATGAATTAAATGATCTCACCAGGGATCTCAATTTATCGAAAAAAGCTACTGAAGTACTGACTTCTAGGTTGAACGACAAAAATTTATTGGAACAAGGAACCAAAATTACCTTTTACCATACAAGAGAAAAGTATCTGCTACCATTCTTTTCTCAAGAAGACATCAGAAAACTGAAAGGTTTTATATACATGTTCAAAAAGGATATACTTCTGCCTTTGATTAGGTATTGTCTGTATCTGGAATATAATTTTGTCACTGACTGATTGAAAATTTAATTATTTCTGTTTTCTTGCAAACTAAAAATGAAGAAAACGAGTATAAATTACATTCGAAAATATTACAATATAACAACTATTTTTTTGGGAATACATTTTGAATACACGTTTAACATTAACCTTTAACTTCATTAGGCAACTTTTCATATACTTCCACATAAATATTGTTGCCTAATGACCAATTCTGTGCACGTTTTAATGATTTTTTTAGTAAATATACTTATTTTGCTTTAGCTGAAGTAATAAAAATATATAATAATAAATAAATCTCTACACTTGTTTTATAAATCTTTATACTTTTAGTAAAACCAAAAACTACAGTTCTTATTTAAGAATTTTATTAAAAATGATACTGCTAATACACGCAAAGTCGCCCTTTAGTACATATTTTATTTAGCGCTGCGTCACGCACGGAGCGAATAGCGTTAAATAATCAATGGTATTATTAGTCAAAATACAGATATTTAGTACCTCAAAGAGATCTAAGAAATCCTAAATATTTTCATTGGCCATTTCGTAAAACAAATTATTCGCAAAACTCTCAACTGTGTAGAATAGTATAAGAAATGCAAACCACTTTGAAGTCTCACTAACTGTTTATTTGAAATTATTAATGACAATGTTCTAGATTTTATCTGTATGTTGTTTGTTTATATTTTTTTACGTAGTGCTCTGTATTTTATTTTAATGCTTATTATGTAAAACAATGTACAATACTGAATAACTAGTCATCTTATTTTAATAGCAACGGTTCCAGGAAAAATTTACGATGAAAATCAACCCCTTGATAGACAAATCTATATTTTTTTAACATCCTGTATTTTATTATATTTCAGAATGACCTAATATTGCATGTAGTATTTTTGAGTAATGTTATGATAATATATACCTAATATGCCCGAAGGTACTCTAGCTTTGTTTTTAGATTTTTTTACTGCGGTCAATGTCAAGAAAATTTCACTTACGGCCTTTGGAAATACAATAAATATTTTTCTGGCAAACAAGTGATTAGTAACAAAATAAAAGTATTGTATTTTTTAAATCAAGACATCAAAATTCATAAATATAATATGGTCGTATTATTCTAATTACTATTAAATGTATAAAGTTTTGCCTAGACGAAGGTAGAACTTACTTGTTGTCAAACAGGCAGATAATTTAATATTAAAGATTTATTCTTAGATTATTGTTCTTTGTTATGGATGAGCGTGGAAACAACTATTAATTTGCTTTGTGTTACGACACTTTATCGAAATAATCGTCGACAGAACATCATCTCTCGGGATGCTTTACTCACGTTTCAGAAACTTTAGTCGTCCTCTAAAGTTATGCCCCTGTTGATAAACAATACAGGGTGTTCCAGTGAAAAGTGTCATTTTTTAACAACTTATAACTTAAAAACGGCTAACGATAAAAATGTTAGGTTTTCACTGACATGTTATAATCCAGCGATGCCAAAATGTATTACTTGTACATAATGCTTTAAAAAATTACCCTTATTCAAATAAAAAAAAAAACGAAATTTAATTTAATATTTTGATGTTA